TGAGCCACTGCATCCCTCTACTGAATTAGTAGTTGATTAATGAGTAAACAGTTTGATTCAATGGTTTTGCTTCTCTCCATGTGAAAGTTTGCCATGTCAGAAACACTGAAGATTCATCAAAGGAAGCCTCCTATACTTCAGATTATCCCCCCTTAAGGAGAAAAAAAACATGTCATGTGGTTACCAAGATCCATTCAACGTGAGCTCATTTAAGATAGTTTATAAAATGCCTGCATAGGCCTAACGCTTCTTTTAAAAGAAGAGTTTACCTTTGTGGAGGGAAGATTTGAGGAGGGGATGGGATGCCAGAAGCTTCCTAGAAAATTCAGTATCTTTTTCCATTTCTATAAGGATCCATCTCTCTTCAGCTTTCCTGTCAGTGCTGGTCAAGGACAGCTATGTGTCCAGCTTTTCAGAAAACACATAGGATCACTAAAGGGTTGACAAGGCCAGTCCACTTTAAAGAGAAAGAAAAAGGAGAGCATTGAGAAGTCTTGAAGTTGACCATCAACAGTCAACACCTAGACATCTGGTAAAGCAAGCACAGTCTTCCCTACTAATGAGATGCATTGTATTTCTTCTAATTTATAGTAGTTTTTTCCATATTCACATTTGTGCATATTCATTAACACATTATGTAATCCTGTTCCCTCTTTCCCCCCTCCACTCTCTTTTCTTTTCTTTTTTCTTTCTTTCGTTAGATTATGCATTTCATCTCTTTTTGGCAATACATAGGCATCCTAGCAGGGTCAGAACCAGGAAAGGGCTAGCCAGAACAGATACCCTATAGAATCATCACAACAAATAGTGCAAATTGAGTCCACTTTAACTGCCCTGGCTCAGTGCTAGGGAATCATGGGAATTGTATTTTTTTCTGAGACATTGAGCCTTCTCTGTCAGAGAGCTCTGGTGCTACAATGAACTACAGTGCCCATGATTCCCTAGCACTGAGTCAGGGCAGTTAAAGTGGACTCAATTTGCACTATTTCTGGCAGTCTACTGAGTGCTTTGTTACTAGCACTAGAGAGCTAGCACAGTGTAGTAGTCAGAGCACCAAAAGTATTGGATTCAACTCCATACTGGACTTTGAAACTTAATGGGTAGGTAGAATCTTAAGATGCTATTGGGCTGTGTAACCTGTGCATCCATAATGACTATGGTTGATATTCAGTGTTGCTGTTACAGATTTGATATCTAGAGTTGCAGATGCATAACTGCCTGGTATTCAGTAAAACTACATAGGACGTTATCACACATGGGCCAAAAAGCGATAATAAAGTGGAAATGAGGCATTCCGAAAATAAATGGAAAATAAACCTTGATTCCGCAAATGGCTTTCTCACGTAATTACCTTAATTGCAAATTTACAGTAAGCTCAATTAACGTTCACACACAAGTGAGAAAAGTCTGTAAATGTACTAGAAATGAGCTTCTTGCACATGCGCAGATAGAGGAATGCTCGCTGGAATCATGGGAAAAGCAGGGAAATGCTCCCAAATTCGCATTTGCTTTTCACATTACGGTAAATGCCAAATTACCTTAATTTCGCATTTGCATTTCCTCCAAACAACTGAATTTCAAAAGATCTAGGTTAACACCAGTTTCTGTCTACTTTCTGTCCAGTTTCCATGCGACGTCGTGTGAAAACGCGGGGCACAAATCCAGTTTCTGTTTGGGATTTGTGTGGATTAACCAGCAGATTTGCCCCCGTGTGATAACGTCCATAGTCTTACTATAAAACTCCTTAAATGTCACCTAAGCCCACTTTAAGAGTCAGCAGCTGGCAGGTGAAGATGATCCGTTCAGCTTCTGAATGAGGTGCAAGAAGGATTATGTTTCCAACCACCCTTCCCTCCACCAAAGCAAGACTGTGAGTAT